ATATAACCAACGTCTCTGTCTTGTGAAGAAACTTGCCAGGGAAACTTGCTGCGTGCCGCTGAAACAGGAGCTCTGGTGAAACTGTTAGGGGGAAAAGGATGTCCTGTTCAATATTGGGCTGCCCTATTGTAACAGGGTGGTCCCCAGGAAAGGGGGAAGTTCCAGGTTCCCTGCCCTACCCAAGGGAGGGTGGACCTGAGCAAGGAGAGAAGAAGCTACAGAAGAGACTGAGGAAGGAAGCAGGATGGAGCCAGGAGACCTGGAGGAGGCGCATGGAGCTAGAGGCAAGTGAAGAAACTGCGCTTGTCTTTTGGTCGCGGACTGGATGACAGAGATGTGGGTGAGACCCGTGGGGAGGTGACCATGGCAGCTTTTATCTTGATGTTGATTTTGCTCTTTTCCTTCCGGGCTTGTCTGGTTGTTTCTGACCCTTTTCTGAGGGTCCCCACTGGAAGATGCTTTAGACTTGTGGCAGGCTTTGGGGCCTTGCTCTGCGCCATTCCCATATGGATGGACTTTTACCACACGAGGGGACGGGTAACTTTGGGTGCTTCATTTAGAAACTAGACTCTTTGCCTTACCTGTATTGTTTCCTAGTTTTATTAAAGTTCCTTCCCATTAAAGTCTCCTATGTTTTGTGTTGATGCGGCGGATGGCAGAACCCATTTAGAATAGGCAGGTTTGTGGGGTTTGGGCTGTCCCTCTCCCTGCCCTATAACACTATAACAAAACCTTTCCCAGAGTGAACCCAAGGACCCCACACTCCAAACTCACAGACTCAAAAGACAACATCATATTCTAGCTTGTATTTTTCTCCTCTCAAGTCTCTCAAAAAATATTATCTACAAGGGCCTCCCTGGTGGCGCTGGCGGTTGAGTGCCTCACTGTGAAGCTGTCCACAGCCTCTGCAGCGCGGGTTCGATCCCGGCCAGCTGGGTGAGAATCCCACATGGCCCAGCAGACCTCTCCTGTCTCGCCTGCTGCTCCCCTCAGCAGTGTATTTTGTCAGTCTGCCTGTTCTGTTCCCTACTCTGTCTCTGGTGAATCCTCTCACCCTCCCGCACATCTGGTCTGTACCCCGGCTCTCATTTAAAATAAATAAATCTTTAAAAAAAATAATATCCATAAAACATAGCTAACACGATACTTAATGGTGAAAATTTGAAACTTTCTGATTAAGATGAGGCACAAGTCTCATTTTCAACATCTTACTGGAAGTCCTGCTTAATACAAGGAAAGGAAAGGAAAGGAAAGGCATACAGATTAGAAAGAAAGAAATTAAACTACCTTTGTGGAAAATCTGAAAGAATTGACCAAAAAAAAACCAACCCTCCTGAAACTAATAAGCATGGTTTCTGGACACAAGGCTAACCTACAAAATTCAATTGCTTTCCTATGGACTAGAACAACAAATGCAATTACAATTCAGATGCAATTTGAAATTAAAAACACAATACTATTTACATTTGTGTTGGCCAAAACATTTTTACCTTCATTTCCTTAATAAAACATGATGATAAACATCCTTTTACATGTCTGTTGGTCATGTTTATCTTCTCTGCAAAAGCAACTACACAGATCCTCCACTCCTTTCTTTTTTTCTTTTTTTTTTTTAAAGATTTATTTGTTTATTTATTTATACAAGCACTGGGTACAGTCAGAAGCGCGGGAGGGTGAGAGAATCCACCAGAGCCAGAGCGGGGAGCAGAGCAGGCAGAAAGACCGAAGTACACTGCTGAGGGGAGCAGCGGGCGGCAGGAGAGGTCTGTGCCATGTGGGACCCTCCTCCAGTGGCCGGGGAGCAGCCGGGATGGAACTGGCGCTGCAGAGGCTGCGGGCAGCTTCGCAACCCAGCGTTCAACCGCTACGCCACCGGGGAGGCCCTCTTTTTTTCTTTTAAAGATTTATTTATTTATGCATACAAGAGCTGGGATGTAGGCCAGAGGTGCAGGGGTTGAGAGGATTCACCAGAGACGGAATGGGGAGCAGAACAGGCAGATCACTGAAATACGCTGCTGAGGGGAGCAGTGGGCATGACAGGAGAGGTCTGATGCACCATGTGGGTCACCTCCCTGGCTGGAGATTGAACTCCTGCTGCAGTGGCTGCTGTGGACTGCTTTATTGTGCTGACACTTAACCCCTTGTCACCAGGGAAGCAATCACTCATTTCTTAATTGGGTTGCTGGCTTTTCTGCTGTTAATTTGGATATGTTCTTTATATACCTTGGATGTCAATCCTCTATCAAATGTGCAACATGCAAGTGTTATCTCCTCCGTAGCCAGCCATTTTAAACTGCTGATATTTTCTTCTGCTGTGCAAAAATTCTCAATTCGATGCAGTTCCAATTTTTCATTTTTGCCTTTACTTCCCCTGTGACTGGGGTTGAGTCCCCAAGGACATCTTTTTCATTGATGTCATGGGATGTATCACTATGTTTTCTTCTATGTGTTTTATAGTCTTGGGTCTTATTTTCAAATCTTTAATTCAGTTTGAATTTATTTTTGTGTATGAAGGTAGAGAGTGATCCAGTTTCATTCTTTTACAAGTCCAGTTTTCCAAACATCATCTGTGAAGAGATTTTTCCTCTCTCCATTGTATGATTGTAGCCTCCTTTGTCATAAGATAGGTTTTAATATATGCATGGATTTATTTCTGGGATTTTTATTTTATTCCACTGATCTGTGTGTCTATTTTTATTTCAGAACTCTATTGTTTAATTGTTGTTGTTTTATAATATAGTTTAAAACAAGTAACATGATGACTCAATTTTCTTCTTAACATAGCTTTAGCTATTTGTGGTCTTTTGTAATTCCACATAAATTTTAGTATTTGTTGTTCTGTTTCCTTGCAAAGTAGTGAAATTTCAAGTGCATTAAATCTGTATATTGCTTTTGGTAAGGTGGTTATTTTGATTAAGTTGATTCTTTCTAAGCATGAATATGAGATATCTTTCCAGGTGCCGGGAATAAATGGGAAGTCTCTGTACTTTCTGCTCAATATTACTATAAAGCAAATATTTTAATAATTTAATATATTACTAACTTAGTATTTATTATATAGTAATATAATACTGCATTCTAGTATAATAAATAACACCCACCTTTATCCTATATCCTATATATATACACACATACACATATACATACATGTATCTCCACCACTGTAATAAATACAATGATAAAGAAAAGAACAGAGAAAGGAATCAAAGTTGTACACTCTAAAAATATTTAAAACATAAAAGGCATTAATGGAAAAATTGGATAAAAAGAGATGACATATAGAAAATAAATAGCATATTTTTGGTTTTAGACACATAAATAGGTAGATAGATGAAATGTTATGTACAAACCATTTATATGTTATTATAAGCATGATATATATAACAATGAACACAACTAGTGTTCATATATTGACTTCTAAATACTACTATCCCTTAGAAGACAGCAAGATTGGGCCTCCCCGGTGGCGCAGCGGTTGAGCACTGGGTTGCGAAGCTGCCCGCAGTCTACGCGGCGCCAGTTCCATCCCCGGTTGCTCCCCGGCCACCAGAGGAGGGTCCCACATGGCGCGCAGACCTCTCCTGCCGCCCGCTGCTCCCCTCAGCAGTGTACTTCAGTCCTTCTGCCTGCTCTGCTCCCCGCTCTGGCTCTGGTGAATTCTCTCACCCTCCCGCGCTTCTGACTGTACCCAGTGCTTGTATGTATAAACAAACAAACAAATAAATAAATAAATCTTTAAAAAAAAAAAAAAAAAAAAAAAAGAAGACAGCAAGATTATTTCAAGAAATAGCTGCTTCCAGAGTTGGAGTTGAAAGAGTACAAATACGTAAAGTATTTCATTGTGCCAGAAAATAACATGCTCCAAGAATGAAAAACGCAGAGGACAGTTTGAAGTGACCTCAATTGGCCAAATATGACAAATTGCACATCAAAATAAGTAATCATAGCAATGGATTATAACTGAATGAATAGAGGAGAGAAAATACAGATATACAGAGATATAAATAAACTAATGAATAAATCAGATGTTTGATAAGGAACCAGACATTAAAATATCTGGACAGTCTCAAAGTAACTCCCCACAAAATGTTTATTAATTTCCAAGGGAAAATGAATAACTAGGTGAGAAGCCTGATGAACAGCTCCTTAGCTAAGCTATCAAAGCAAAGGAACATCAGCAACAGGACCACACAAAATCACACACATCTCACTGGATGCCATAAGAACATGGCGTGGCTTCTGGGATATTACTGGCAAAGCAACAAAGATGCATCACCCAAGTCTAAACATCATACACATTCAGATCAGGGGACATTCTACAAAATAATTGGCCTGTAATCTTTTAAAGTACTGGCAGATTAATCTTATGGATTAAAAGGTGTAAAAAGACATGACAATAAAGTGTAATACATGATTGTGAACCAGATTCTCTTCCTGTAAGACATTTTGGGACATTTGGCAAAACTTGGATAAGGTCTGAAAAATCCAGCAATGTATTGTGACTGTACCCATTTCGAAGAGAGTGTGGCGGGACTGTAGGAAAGTACCTGTGTAGAAAATTCACACTGGGGCCTCCCTGGTAGTGCAAGGGTTAAGCACAGCCCTATGAAGCTATTCTCAGCCTCCACAGCAGTAATTCTCTCACCCTCAGCAGTGTATTTCAGCAGATCTGCCTGTTCTGCTCCCAGCTCTGTCTCTGGTGAATCCTCTCACCCCCGCACCTCTGGCCTGTACCCCAGTTCTTGTATGTATAAATAAATTAATCTTTAAAAAAAAGGCAAAAAAGAGGGGGTGGCTTTCGAGGGGCCTTGAGAGCATAGCTTATTGTCACAGACGTGTTCCATTCAATCATTATAAACAACAATAAGGATATTTTCCCTTTTCCTTAAAATCTGAGTAAGTTGCTACTTTTCAAAACACACTCACTTCTATAGCAACCTGTACAGAGTGTAACTAAGACGGGAGGAGACCAGATACAGCGACTCTTTCTTCCCTTGACAGATGGGAAACAGCCGAAGGGCAGGAACAAACCCATGTCACTCACTTCTACAAACCAGCCGGCGCCTCCCTAGCCTCTTCAGTGCCGCCTGCATCTCCTGGTTCCGCAGGGTGTAGATCATGGGGTTGAGCATGGGGGTCATGACTGTGTGGCTGATGGACACAGCCTTGTCCATGGAGAAGGAGACAAAAGGCCGGGCATAGAGGTAAATGCTTGGAATGAAGACCATCGACACCACGATGATGTGGGTGGTACAGGTGGAAGCCGCCTTCCTCCTGGCCTGCTCTGAGTGTGCCCTGAGCATCACCAGGATGACTGAGTAGGAGACCAGGAGGAGGAAGAACCAGATGACATCCAGCATGCCACTGTTGCAGATCATGAGGAACTCCAGGACGGAAGTGTCTGTGCAGGCGAGTCTCAGCACTTGTGGAACATCACAGTAGAAGTTATCCAGGATGTTGGGGCCACAAAATGGCAGTGGGAGCAGCAGCACCAGTTGACTGATGGAGTGGACGAAACCTACCATCCAGGCTGTCACCACCAGTCCCACACAGAGCTGAGTGTTCATGATGGTGACATAGTGGAGGGGCCGGGAGATGGCGACCAGGCGGTCATAAGCCATCACTGAGAGGAAGAAGACCATGGCACCTCCCAGAAAGTGGAAGAAGAAGAGCTGGGCCATGCAGCCCTGGTAGGAGATTGTCTTCTTCTCAGAGAGGAAGTCCACCAGCATCTTTGGGGCTGTGACCGAGGAGAAACAGAAGTCTAAGAGAGCCAGGTTTCTCAGCAAAAAGTACATGGGCGTGTGGAGCTTGGAGTCCAAGGTCACTGTGATCACTATTAGGAGATTTCCCACGACAGTGGTGGTGTAGACAAACAGGAACACAACAAACAGGAAAATCTGGAGCTCCCACATTTGTGAGAACCCCAGGAAAACAAACTCTGATACCCGGGTGAGGTTCCCTGGCTCCATGGTATCCTCTCCATACACCTAAAGAAAATGAACCACAGACTTAGATGCATGAAGTCACTACTAGCCCTTCTAGAATCTAGACCTCAGAACCAAGTTGTCCAGGTACATAGGGTGGACACCCTCATGTGTGGTCCATGGCAGAGCTGCTTATTCAGAGGCCCTCTCTCGGGGGAATTATGCTTATGAGCTACGTTAATGTCATCCAGAGACATAAGCAGCCTGCCTTTCAAAGAGTCAGTGGAACACTGCATAGTCTGACAAAACACTTGGAATTCAGGAGACCCTGAGCCAAATTTCAGATCTTCCATTTCCTTGAGCTTAGACCTTGAGTAAGTTACTGACTCTCTTTGAGCCTCAGTTTCCACATCTATAAGGTGGGAATAAAATCATTTTCTTTACAACATTTTCTGAGCACTTAAGGAAAATGACACATGTTAGTTTCTGTGGACAGAGCCTACAGTAGAAACCATTATCACGCTCATCTGTGTCCTCTCCTGCTCGAAAGACACCCTCCCTTCTCAGTCTCCAATAAATTTTTCTACCAATCATTCTTTTTTTTTTTTTTTTAAAGAGGCATGTTTTATTTATTTATTTGTTTGTTTGTTTGTTTTGTTTATACATGCACTGGGTACAGTCAGAAGCGCGGGAGGGTGAGAGAATTCACCAGAGCCAGAGTGGGGAGCAGAGCAGGCAGAAGGCCCGAAGGACACTGCTGAGGGGAGCAGCGGGCGGCAGGAGAGGTCTGCGCGCCATGTGGGACCCTCCTCTGGTGGCCGGGGACCAGCCGGGGATCGAACTGGCGCTGCAGAGGCTGCGGGCAGCTTCGCAACCCAGCGCTCAACCGCTGCGCCACGGGGGAGGCCCTCTACCAATCATTCTTCATGCCACATTAACACATCATGATCTTTCACGTATCTGTGCTTCCTCTGTAATTCAGCTGCCGGTCCCAGAAGCACGTATCTGGAAGTACAATGTCTGTGCCCTCAGCGCCCGAGCTTGCTCTTGCTCAGTGCTTACTAACCCCTGGCATGACCTGCTGGGTAGGTGAACAGTTCCAGGGCTCACAAATCCACCAGAGGAGCCCTTGCCACAGCTGGTACCCAGAACATGCTGTTTCTCCCCACCCCTCCATGAAGGTAGCCTCTTACTGGTTGAGGCCCCCCAGAGTATATGAAAGGGGGACAGACTATTTCATTAAATTAAGAAATAGAGGTGAATATATTGTTTTCAGGAGACTGTGAGCTCTTCTGAAAGAACAGCAATTTTAGAATATGATTTTGAACCCAAGGGTGGGAGAGAAGGGAAAATGCTGAGGAAAAGAGATGAGGAATTTAAAGGGACATGATAAGGAAGGGAGGTGGGGAAATAGAACAAGACAAAGAAGGGGATGGAAAGTGGGAGTAGGGGGAGAGCAGCCCAAGGTGAAGGAGGTAGGGGATGACAGGGGCTGATCTTCTCCCACTTCCCTGCCCTGACTGGATTTCTCATGCTCTCTCGCACGACCTACTGCAATCTATTGTTGCCGAAAACCATTCTCTTCTTGTCTTTCTCTTCCATTTGCTTCAGCTCCAGTCTGCCTTCTACTCAGCTGTGCTGGAGACCTGTCCTGGAGCCCTCTCTAAGCTCATCTGATCAAGATCATGTTCCTCTTTCACTTGTATTCCTGTATTGGGGGGTGGCATGCTCAGCGCGCCAGGCCCCTTTCCCATGCCTTGCTCTGTGCCTCTCTTCATCTGACTGTTTTCTTCATCTGACTGTGCCTCTCTTCATCTGACTGTTATAATAAACCAGTGATCTCACAAGTAGAATGTTTCTCAGAACCATTCTAGCAAATTGAACAAGCCCAAAGAGGTGGCAGGTGATTGGCATCTGGAGTGGGGGAGGGAGGCAGCCTTGCAGGAATGAGCTTTAAACCCGTGGTGTCTGAGGCTATCTTCCGGGAAACAGAGTCAGAATTACACTGAGCGGTTGAGTTGTAGGACATCCAGCTGGTGTCACAGAGAAATCCTAGGAGGTGAGGAGAACCATCTTCGTCCTACCTCCACCCTCTCACCCCCACATAGCATTGGATTTGGTGACCAGAATCTTTATAGTCACCCACTCTGTTACTCCTTTCAGTATTTCTGCTAAGCAGAAAGAATTCTTTATTTTCCTGAGTTCTCCTAATAATTTGAAAATGCTGTTGTTATAGTGTTGAGTCCAGGGCAAGTTAGGGTTACACAGGCAGCTTCAGGAACAGCAGAGACTTCGGGAGAATTAAGGGATGCCTCTGAGATAAGGGCAGAGAAATTCAGGAGGGCTAATGAGGGCAGTAAATTTTAAGGTTAAAATTTGAGACAGTAAATTTTAGCAGACCTTGGACAGGGGAGGTAAAAAGAGGAACTCTAAGACAAGAGCTGGGAAAATGGGCACATCTGCCCGGAATATAGCCACTAGGAGGAAGAGCCAACACAAAATAGGAAGATGAGATTTTAGAAGAGAGGAAAACAAAGGATTAAATCCTGCTAGACACAGGCCCACAACAGGCTTCCTTGTCCCTCCCAAGTACAGTGTACCTGGGAGTCTTTACTTTCTTCCTTTAAATAAACTTTTTCTTTCCTTTCTAAAAGTTTGTTTCTCTCTGCTTGCTAATCTAACATGTCTGCGATTTCCTTTTTTTACGGCTTCGTGGGACAAGAACCTGTGGTGGTTCAAGGGCTAAGTGAACAGCGCACACCGGCCTCAGTGTTACGTTCATCTGCACCAGCTTCTCTCCTCCACCAAACATCTCAATTTCCCATCTGCAGTAACCCCAGAACTTCAACAGCAACTTTGACATGGCACACGCTCACTACATGGTATCAAATTAGTGTGTTGAGAAGGTAATGGATCATATGGCCTCCACTCGGGGGAGAATTTTTTAGGGGCTTTCCTCATCCCATGTTCCCTATGCCACAGGCAAGTTCTGTGCTCGGCTGCTAAAATTACTGGTTGTCACACGCAAGGTAAAGAAGCAGTTTTCAACCGCACATTCCCCTTGAAGAGTTCCCAGTGCTCTCCTCACATTCTGCATCGACCCCCACCAAGGCGGTCTCTGTGAAAGCCCCCACCTTCCAGGAGGTGTTTCCAACAACTTAGCTCCAGCTGACCTGCCAGCAGGATGGAAACTCTCGCCTTCTTCAGCTTGAGAGGGAGAGAAGAGTCCAGGTCTTACATCCTGCTGGGGGTCTTCTCCAGACAGCCTCGCGGTGTCCTGGTGCTTGCCCGCAGCTCACTCACGCTGCTCACGGCGTGGCCCTGGGGCCCAGGAGATATCCTCAGGGAGAAATTACTGGTCTGGGCTTAGGAAGCAGCTGGTCCCCACTGGGGGTGAGGGAGCAGTGGGAGTTGTTAAAAAGTTTCCAAGTCTGCCCAAAATACTTCGTGTTGAGAGGTCTGCCTTGGGGGCAAACCCCCACCAAGGACATTGAGAACTGTAGAGATAAGAAATATAGGATTAGCAGGTTAGAGAGTCTCCTGGGAGTTTTAGAAAGCCCCGTTTCTTACAATGGTTCACTTTACATTACCTGGAGGACATGTTAAAATTCAAAAACTACACACAGTATTTTTTTTAAAGATTTATTTATTTATGCATACAAGAGCTGGGGTACAGGCCAGAGATGCGGGGGGTGTGGGGTGTGAGAGGATTCACCAGAGACAGAGTGGGGAACAGAGAAGGCAGAATGACTGAAATACACTGCTGAGGGGAGCAGCGGGAGAGGTCTGCTTTGCCTTGTGGGTTTCCCTCTGGCCGGCCAGGGATTGAACTCATGCTGCAGAGGCTGCGAATTGCTTCATAATGCGGTGCTTGAGCCACCAGGGAGGCCCTACACACAGTATTTTTTGAAGTAATAGGTCTTAGATAGAGCTTGAGAATTCGCATTTCTAGCAAATGCTAGAAATTTGAACCACCTGATTCAAATTTCACTGTTCTCTGTTGACGTGACAACTCTCTCTCTCAGTATCATCAAACAACTGCTTTGATATCTTACATAAAAATTTAATTGATCTCAACTTGGGCAATATCATACATGGGCAAATGTTTGTATAGTACATTGGAAACCAAAACCCTGTGAAGTCTTTTATTTTGCAGTCATGATACTGAATGCCTGCCTCAGTTGTCCCCAGCCAATAAAAGGAAACAAGAGTTTGAGAAGGAAAGTAGTTCATTTTGTCAACAAACTGAGGAGGGCAGCAGTCTCGCGTCTGAAAAACCACTGTCTTGCTCTTTGGCAGAGTGTAGGGGGATTTATACAAGGGAGTTTTAAAATAAGGGGAAATGAGCAAGAGTCGGCACAGCCTTTTGATGCAGACATGTGCAGATTGGTGAGGGGCAGCACCAACTCTGCTTTGTTAACCCCCTGGTGTTGAATGTCCATGCTATCTGCTTAGGAATGTTCTTTCTTTTCCTTAGAATGCAGGAAGACAAACTTGTTAAGCAAACAAACTTGTTAAATGCAGGAGATAGGAATGCTCCCTTTTGTATCTGGTAGGGCAGGCACTTGCATCACTCAGACCCACGGTTGATTTGCCCCATCCATATCCAATTCCACTACCATTATAGATGAATCTACTACTCTATACATGAATTGTTACAGGATAAAGTTCTTTTCATGTAAGGACTAGTACAAGGAGCACATGTGTTTTCTTTTATGATAAACTGTTTAGAATTAGAATTAACTGACTTTATAACCTTGATATGCTGCAGAATCTGTGATTTCTTAGACAGAGATCTTGGTTCTACATGAGATTTTCAGGTGGATCCTAGTTCTTGTGTTGCAATTATTTAAATAAAGTTTTCTGGCATGTAAAAACACTGTGTTCTTTCACACATACAGGAGATGTTGATTTTAAAATATGAATTCTTCCCAAAATTAAAATTTTAGCCTATTTTAAAACCCTGGTTTAAATTAGCCTGGTTTGACAGGGGGAAAGGAAATAGGTCTTATCAATCTCATTGACTATCAGATGTCACTAACTGTAACTTTATTAAGAGTAAATTACCTGGATTTATTTCTTATGATTCTGATTTCGCTCTCAAAAAATCTCTTGTATATTCTACTTATATCTTTCTCCTCTGAAGTCTCTTAAAAAATAGTATCTACAAAAAGCATACCTAACGTGATAATTAATGGTGAAAATTTTGAAGCTTTCTGATTAAGATCAGGAACAAGTCTCATTTTCAACATTGTACTGGAAGTGTTAGGGGGGAAAGGATGTCCTAAAGCTAATTCCATACAGGCTTTGTGGACTCCACCCCCACCCCAGGCCAAAGCCAAAGACACTGGGAACTCCAAATCCCATCACCACCAAAGGGAAGGTGGCTGGGACCTGAGGGTGGGGTTAAGCAGCCAAGTTGGTATAAAGCCAGACACGTGGGCTTTGGGGGGCCCCCCATTTTGGCTCTCCGCCAGCTAGCAGCGTTGGGCCAGCTCTGAGAGTGCCTTTGGGTTTCCAGGTCGGCGGATCGGGTAGGACACATTAAAGACTTTATTTCCCTATTTTCTCCCTGAGTTGTACATTTTCCTTATTTCCTTTTCCTTGTAGATAAACCTTTTATTAACCTTTTGTGTGTGCCTGTAGTGGAGTATTAATAAGTCCCTTGTAAGCGCGCAGGTGAGGACCCACAGCCAGGCAACCCGTTCAATATCAGGGCTGTCTGATAACAGGAGTCTTGCTTAATATAAGACAAGAAAAGGAAAGGAAAGGCATACAGATTGGAAAGAAAGAAATTAAACTATTTTTGTAGAAAATCTGAAAGAATTGACCAAAAAAACCCTCCTTAAACTAATATGCATGATTGATGGATACAGGGCTAACCTACAAAATTCAATTGCTTTCCTATGTAGTAGAACAAACAAATGCAATTACAATTCAGATGCAATTTGAAATAAAACACACACACACTATTTCCATTTGTATTGCGTAAAATGAAATACTTAATTATAAATCTAACAAATCCATGCATTATATCTATGAGGAAAACTAACACTCTGATGAGCAAAATCCAAGGATTAGATAAGTGGAGAAATAATCCATGATCATGGATAGGATGGGTCAATATAGTGTAGGTGTCAGTTCTTCCTTACTTCTTATATAGATTCAATATAGCCCCAGTTAAAATCCCAGCAAGTTATTTTCTAAGTATTAACAAACTGAGTCTCAAATTTATATAGAGGCAAAAGACTCAGAATAGCCAACTAAATACTGAAGGAGAAGAACAAAGTTGGAGGACTAACACTATCTAACTTCAAGACTTAATACAAAACAAGAGTGTTCAAGACTTAGTTGACAAAAGAATACAAATAAATCAATGAAACAGAACAGAGTCCAGAAATAGACCCATATAAATATGCTCTCAACAGAAACAGAGTCAATACAAGGAGAAGAGATTGTGTTTTCAACAATGGAGAACAACTGGATGTCCACATTGAAAGAAAGTGAAGTTATAAAAGACTGAACCTCTTTCACAAAAATTAACTCAAAATGGATTACGTAACTACATGTAAAGCATAAAATAATAAAACTAGAAGATAACATAGAAAAGATTTAGACGACCTTGGGTTTGTTTATGACACTTTAAATATCAAGGAGTGATTCATGAAAGAATTAATCCATAATAATTGATTAAAACTATCTAATTTCTATTCCCCCTCTACAGTTTGTTTGAATCAAGATCCAAATAAATTCCAGATAGTGATTGACATTCATTTTAATCTATATGTTTTCCCTTACATTTCTCACTTGCAATTTTTTTTTTTTAAGAAACCACGTTGTCCCAAAGTGTTTCCTGCAGCCTGAATTCTGTCAACTGCATTCTTGTGGTGGTATTTAATGTGTTTCTCTGTCCCTTGTATTTTCTGTAAATTGAATTTAGAAGTTTTCAAAGGAATTTTTTTCAATTTTAAGAAAATTAAAAAAGAGAAAAAAAAATAGAACACCCACCACTATCCATTATACCCCTTCCACCCTTACTCTTACCTACCACCTGTTCCCCTCAGGTAATCTCAGTTCAGTTATCAATGTCCTTTACTTTGTTATTATTGTTTTTTACATTTATCTAATTTATCCCCCCAAGTTCCCTCCACTGTGCTGCAAATGGCAAAATTTCATCCTTATAGTGGAATAATATTCCACTGTGGACACTGCACACCCTTTCTATTCAATCATCTCTCAGTGGGCAATAGTGGTACAATAAACATCGTGGTGTGTATATTCTTTAAGTTGATGCTTTGGTACCCTTTTGATAGCTACCTAAAAGCAGCATTACTTTGTTTTTTAAGGAAAAACTTATTTAATTTTTTTTTTTTTTAAATAATAAATTTATTTTTATATTCCCCCATACAATTGCCAACGCCCATTCTGACCCCATCCTTCCCTCCCCCCCCACCCCCAAAGGTGTCTCTGGTTCATAGTTCTTTGTTTGATTTGATTTTCACTTTCTTTTTTTTTTTTTTTTTTTTTTTTTTCTTTTATTTTTTTTTTTATTTTTTTTTTTTATTTATCAAGTATTTTATTTTTTTTTTTTTCCAGGAAATACTATTTATTTATCAAAATTATTTCTTTTCCCTTCTTTTTCTAGGCATTATTTCAGTTTATTTTTCTTTCTTTTTTTTTTTTTATCTTAAATTTTATTTTTATATTCCCCCAACAATTGCAAACGCCCTTCCCTCCTCCCCCCGCCCCCCACCCCCAAAAAGTGTCTCTGGTTCATAGTTTTTTGTTGATTTTGATTTTCACTTTCTTATATTCATTTTCTGGTCCCTTATTTAAGTTTTCTAGATTCCTGCTATGAGTGAGACCATCCGGTATTTTTCTTTTTCTTTTTGGCTTATTTCGCTGAGCATGATCCCTTCCAGTGCCATCCATGTTTGCTGCAAATTGCATGTGTTTATCTTTTTTGAATGCTGAGTAATATTCCATGGTATATATGTACCACATCTTCTTGATCCATTCATCTACTTTTGGGCATTTGGGTTGTTTCCAAAGCTTAGCTATTGTAAACAGTGCTGCTATAAACATAGGGGTGCAGGTGCTCTTTGGAATTGATGTTTCTGTGTCCTTTGGGTAAATACCTAGGAGTGGAATGCTGGATCATATGGAAGCCCTATGTTTAGTAGGTCCAGAAATCTCCACACAGCTCTCCATAGTGGTTGGACCAGTTTGCACTCCCACCAACAGTGCACAAGAGTTCCTTTTCTCCACATCCTCGCCAACATTTGTTGTTTGCTAGTTTTTTAATATGTGCCATTCTCACTGGTGTGAGATGGTATCTCATGGTAGTTTTGATTTGCATTTCCCGATTACAAGTGATGTTGAACATTTTTTCATATGTCTGTTGGCCATTTGCATTTCCTCTTCAGAGAAGTTTCTTTTTTAGCTCTTCTGCCCATTTTTTGACTGGATTATTTCTTTGTTGTTGCTGAGT